AAAAAAAAAAAAAAAAAAAATAAGCATCTTTATGAAATAGGAGAAGGGTATTACGTTTTTTATATTACAGATGAGGAAACAGATATCTGATTAAGTTACTTACTTAAGATCATACCTGTGACTTTGTGACTCTGGGGCTAAAGCTGAATCCCACAGTCTTCCCATTGTAGCCTGACACCTTTGCATTTCAAAAGTTGAGTTTACACTGAACTCCCTTTCTCTCTCCAAATTTCTCTTTATTATAGTATTCAATTTGAGATTGCCTTGAATCCCCGGCAACGATGATTTGAGCCTGTTCACTGGCTGCCAGAGCTCCTTTCAAAACTGGTGACCAATTTCACAGTCGAGACATATTTTTGTGAAGCACAAATGCTTATTACTAGCAAGGCAATCTTCTAAGCACTAAAAGAAAACCAAAGATGAAGGCAGATCTTGCCTTTAAAAAAAAAGTACAAAGGGCAAGAATAAGACTTATGTATATATAATAGTTAAATATAAATAAAATTAGGATAGGAGACATGGAAATCAGATTCCTCTATGGCTACTAAATATCCACTTGCTTTGTGTTCCAAAATCTGACTAAATCTGTAGAAAATAGCTCCATTAAATAAATATATGAATTAGTACACAGAAACAGAATTATAGATGAGAAAATATATCAGGATATACACAGTGTTTGTACATGACAGGTAAAAATACCTAATTTTTACTAAGCACTTACGATGTGCCAGAGACCTAAGCATTTTCCTGATTAATTTATTTTAATCCTTACTACAACCTTTGAATAAGGTATTATGGTTATTCCCATTTTATAGATGATAAAACAATGACTTAGATACATTTAGTCTCTTGTACAAGACTGAGCAGCTTAAACCCACACAGTCTGGTTCCTGAGACCACGCCCCTAACCATGCAAGATAAATTATTCTGTATCATTCTTCAACCAATCTTACGAAAGAGACACTATTATGTCCTTATATTTAAGATGAGGGCACTGAAGTTTAGAGAAGTTAGGGGGCTTGACCAAGAAAGAACGAACATAGAGCCAGTAAGTTGAGGAACTGGAATTCAAATTTAGGATTGCCTTCTCCGAATTGAATGATTTAGTACAAAGCTAATATATCCGCCCAAAGACACATCACGCAATTGCCCTGGCTGCAGAAGAAGAGCTATCTTATGATTACCTAAAATATTTTATTATCTGTGTATCTCTTCTCTAACACTTGTCAATGACAAATTCACATTGTACCCATTACATTTTGGATTATTCTTAGTAAGAATTCACGAGGATATTTGGTCTTCTCAGAAATCAAATTCTCACAAAAAAGTAAATTTTCAAAGGCCTACTAATGAAATGAGAACATATAAAATATGTTAACCTAAATGTCACTAAATTCCAACTCATATCAAGCAAATACAATCAAGAGGGAATTATGGAGATTATTGTACAATACTCACACTGTAAATCAAGATGTGAAAATTGTACAAGAATAGTTTCATCAAGATTATCTGATTATCATAGGCGATAATTACATGGGATATCTGGAATTTTAAAGAAGCATTTTGTTCTATATGAATGTACAAAAGTGGGTAAACAGCTGTTTGGAGAGGAAAAGATCAGACAAAATCCAGCATCTGTGTTTAAACATTTCTAAGAAGGATATTTGTTTTATGTTCATCAGAGCAGCCAAATTACTCATCTACGAATATAAAAGATATGAATTTCTCTTCTCTGCTGTTGGAAGGCTTTAGTTGCCAAGTTACAGAAGTGACCATAATACTTGAAGCATTTGCTTATTTAATATTAAACAGCCTTGGTGGCTTCAAATGGGAGGAGAATAAATTACAAAAATACTCGCAAATAACCGAATCCACAAGTCCTTTAATTGAATGGAGAGTGAGGAGTGAAATGGACTGAAGAAAGAAGTGACACAGGAACAAGAGTTTGAGGCTGGCATCCGGTTTCCTTGAAGAGAGAACACATAACTTCCTTTCTTTCTTCTAACTGATGTGCATATAGCTCAAGGCGGTCCAGAGGCAATGGGGGACAGCCTGAATATGGCAAACCAGCAAATTCAGACCTGTATTGTCCCTCATTGCATTCTTTTGTAATCACTGCAATTTCTCCATGATTCATATTTCAACTATTCCCTTTTAGTGATTGGCAGTAAAACTCCTGAAGTGAAAAGAGTTTTTGGGCATCCTTAGAAGCAACTGGGAGGGAAAGAGGGATACCATGTCCCCAGTCACGGAAATGATAGGGGAAGTTTTAAGATGAAGATGAAGACCAGGCACAGTGGCTCATGCCTGTAATACAGCACTTTGGAAGGCCAAGGGAGGCAGATCACTTGAGGTCAGGAGTTCAAGATTAGCTTGGCCAGCATGGTAAAACCCTGTCTACTAAAAATACAAAAATTAGCTGGGCGTGGTCATCCAAGCCTGTAGCCCCAGCTACAAGGAAGCTGAGGCAGGAGAATTGCTTGAACCGGGGAGGTGGAGGTTGCAGTGAGCCGAGATTGTGCCCACTGCACTCCAGCCTGGACCATAGGGCAAGACTCCAACTCAAAAAAAAAAAAAAAAAAAAAAAAAAAAAAAAAAAAAAAAAAAAAAAAAAAAAAAAAAAGAGGAAGACGAAAAAAGAGTTTCTGAAACATTACAAAGGAGGAAGCATGAAGAAGGTGCTGATGGGGTTGAAATGGAGGTGAGAAGGCCAACAGCAACAGCAGGGACCCTCCTATGTTCATGAACCTAATGCATACCAAGCAGTGTGCTAGGCATTGAGGACACGATGATGAATAAAGCAGGCATAGCCTGTCTTCAGTGAGCTTACCGTCTAAGGACACCAGATATTGAAGAGAGGTATATAAAATACTTGAGTGTGCAGATTAGATAGTTGTCATGGTTCCTTCTTCTCTGATTTTTCTCACTACCCCCACCCCTTTGCACCCCAAGTTTTGGCATTTTGGGTACCATTGTAGCTATGGAACTGTACAAAACCAAGATCATTTTCAGAGACCGGTCAAGCACCCTTAAGTGCAAAATAGGAAAACATTTCCCCAGGGCCTTCTCTCTTCGACTGCTTCTCTTTAGGGACCTAAGTGACCAGGACCTTCTTTATTCCCACTGCTGGTCAAAAATCTGCTATCACCATTGCTGGGGTATATTTATTAAATGAAAAGGGTAAGGTGCAGAGTAATGTGTATAGTACGTGAATATTTGTTGTTGTTATTTATTTTTAAGGCATTATCTGCTTGGGAAGTTGGCATCAGAATCTACTCTTGTCTCAGAAAAGGAATGGGTGGCTAGGACAGGGATGGAAGAGAATGAAGAGTTTACTGTTTGTATTTTTGTACCTTTAAAATTTTGTACCATGGGAAGACAAAACAAATTTTTAAAATATCAAGATCTCTCCTCATAATGATCCAAAAATGTACCTTCCTTCTTTCCTCAATGAACTCTCACTCTCTAGGATGTCGATCTGATTAAAATAATTGCTACTTAAGTGTAAATTATCCATAAAAATAGAGGTGATGTGGGTGGCTACTATCTATACCTCAGAAAATGAAATGTGAGTGTCTGAAGAAGACTTCCGAGCAGGGAGGGCTTCAAATACTCTATTTAGAGAAGGCTTTCCTTGTCAGGTTCAAACAGACCTGGATTTGAATAAGCTCTTTCATCTTATAAAAGCGAAAATCTATAGACTGTGTGACTATCAGCAAGTTTCTTAAGCTTTTTAAGATGCAATTTTTGCATCTTGTAAAATGAGGATAAGAACTACCTCATGGGATTGTAGCCCGGAACAAATAACAGGAGGAATATCAAGTGCTTTGCACATAGTAGGTTTTCAATGCTTGCTCATTTCTTTCCTGGCTTCCATGTCTTTATTTTCCTCAACAAGGCTGAGGAAAAATAATGTAAGTAGCATTAGTGATATATGGATTCGAAGATGCATACAATAATCACCCTTATCCTCAGGGGATACATTCCATGATGCCCAGTGGATGCCTGAAACCATGGATATTACGGAACCCTTTATACACCAGGCACAAATTTCTTTTTTCTTCTTCACAGTTCCACAGGCAGAAGATCTTAGCAACTTCAGCATTCGTTTTTTTTTTCTTTCTTTATTTTCACTCAGAGGAAACACTTCAGGGCTTCCCTTTGGCAGATCCAAATCGACAGCATTGCTACTCTTGTGCTTTGGGGCCATTATAAAGTAAAATAAGGGTGACTTCAACACAAGCACCCCCATACTGCCAGGATTGATCTGATAACTGAGAGGGCCACAAAGTGACTAACAGGTAGGGGGCATAGACAGTGTGGGTCTGCTGAGCAAAGGGGAAGAGTTCACGTCCTGCATGCAACAGAGTGGGACAGTGGAAGATTTCATCAGGCTACTCGGAATGGCATGCAATTTAACACATTGAATTATTTTTTTAATTTTCCATTTAATATTTTCAGACCATGGATAAATGAAACCACAGAAATCCAAGCCATGAATAAGACTGGGCCCACTGCACCTATTTCCTTTCATTTCTGTGAATGGCTTTGTAAGAAGTTTAAGGTCAATGAGAGCTGCAGGGTGTATTAGATAGACAGTGAGCTACAAAGGGTGAGGAAAGTGTTTTCTCTTTTTAAAAAACTTTTAGGCCAGGCATGGTGGCTAATGCCTGTAATCCCAGCACTTTGGGAGGCCAAGGCAGGTGGATCATCTGAGGTAAGGAGTTCAAGATCAGCCTGGCCAACATGGTGAAACCCCATCTCTACTAAAAAATACAAAAATTAGCCGGGCGCTGTGGTGTGCACCTGTAGTCCCAGCTACTCAGTAGTCTGAGACAGGGAGAACTGCTTGAACCCAGGAGGTGGAGGTTGCAGCGAGGTGAGATCTCGCCACTGCACTCCAGCCTAGGTGACACAGTGAGATTCCATTTCAAAAACAAAACCACTTTTGTTTTAGGTTCAGGGGTACATGTACAGGTTTGTTATACAGGTATACAGGCAACCTTGTGTCACCCAGGTATAAGGCATGGTACCTGACAGGTAGCTTTTCTGATGCTCTCCCTCCCCCCACCCTCCCCCCTCAGTAGGTCCCAGTATCTGTTGTTGTCCTCTTTGTGTCCATGTGTTTTCATTGTTTAGCTCCCACTTATAAGTGAGAATATGTGATATTTGGTTTTCTTCTCCTGTGTTCATTTGCTAAGGATAATGGCCTCCAGCTCCATCTATGTTTCCTTTGTCAAAGGACATGATCTCACTTATAGCTAAATTCAGCCTATTTCATTGAATGTCAATATAATGCAAAGCCTTTTTCTAAGTGCTAGGGACATAGCAGTAGACAAAATGTGAAAATCCTTGCTCTCATGAACCTCTAGTGAAGGGAGACTGACAATGAATAAAATAGATCAATGATAAACGTCAAAGAGAAAACTAAAGTAGGAATTGGTAATGTGGTACTGCCAGAAAGCAGGGAGAGTTTGCAGTTTTATTTGATTTTTTATTAAAAATTTTTCTTTTTTCTTTTGGAAATGGAGTCTCACTCTGTCACCCAGGCAGGAGTGCAGTGGCGCAATCTTGGTTTACTGCAAACTCTGCCTCCCGGCTTCATGCAATTCTCCTTCCTCAGCCTCCCGAGTAGGTGGGAGTGTAGGTGAGCCCACCATGCCCAGCTAATTTTTGTATTTTTAGTAGAGATGGGTTTTCACCATATTGGCCAGGCTGGTCTGGAACTCCTAACCTTGTGATCTGCCCACCTCGGCCTCCCAAAATACTGGGATTGCTGGTGTGAGCCATTGCACCCAACCTATTCTTAAATTTTTATGTATTTTTTTTAACTTGTACTTTAGATTCAGGGGTACATGTGCTGGTTTGTTATATAGGTAAACTGTATGTCACCAGGCTTTAGCGTACAGGTTATTTCATCACCCAGGTAATAAGCATAGTACATGATAGGTATTCTTTCTGATCCTGTCTTTCTTTCCACCCTGCACCCTCAAGTAGGCCTCAGTGTCTCTTGTTCCCCTCTTGGTGTCCATGTATTCTCATTGTTTAGTGAGAACATGCAGTATTTTCTTTTCTGTTCCTCTGTTAGTCTGCTTAGGATAATGGACACCAGCTCCATCCATGTTCCTGCAAAGGACATGATCTCATTCTTTTTTATGGCTTCATAGTATTCCATGGTATTCCACCTGAGGTCAGGAGTTCAAGACCAGTGTGGTCTTGAAATATGTATCACATTTTCTTTATTCAATCTACTGTTGATGGGCATTTAGGTTGATTCCATGTCTTTGCTATTGCAAACAGTGCTATCTATGATGAACATATGAGTACATGTGTCTTCATGGTAGAACAATTTATATTCCTTTGTGCATATACACAGTAATGGGATTTCTGGGTTGAATGAAAATTCTATTTTAAGTTCTTTGAGGAATCATCATGCTGCTTTCCACAATGGCTCCACTAATTTACATTCCCACCAGCAGTGTATGAACGTTGCCCTTACTTGGTCAGTGTCTGTTATTTTTTGACCTTTTAATAATAGCCATTCTGACTGGTGTGAAATGGTATCTCATTGTGGATTTGATTTGCATTTCTCTGATCATCAGTGATATTGAGTAATTTTCCGTATGCTTATTGGCCACATGTATACCTTCTTTTGAAAAGTGTCTGTTCATGTCCTTTGACCACTTTGTAATGGGTTTGTTTGTTGCTTCTAAATCTGTTTAAGTTCCTTATAGATTCTGGATATTAGACCTTTGCAGTTTTAAACTAAATGATCAGCCTCCCAAGTAGCTGAGACTATAGGCTTACACCACCATGCCCAGCTAATTTTTTGTATTTTTGGTAGAGATGGATCTTGCCATGTTGGCCAGGTTGGTTTCAAATTCCTGACCTTAAGTGATTCACCCACCTTGGCTCCAAAAGTGCTGGGATTACAGGAGATACTCAGTTTAGTAAATGATGCTTTCTACATAGATATTTGAAGCAATACTACAGATTTTATGTTCAGATTAATTTAGGATTCTAACTATCCAGCATTTCTTTATTAACACAGTGGTAATCTAGTATTTATGTTCCTGAATAAGAAAATATCCGAGAAATTCGTATTGGTACCTCTAAACAACGTATAGACTGCGTGCACTGTTAGAAAGACCCTCACGGATGTGATGAGGTGCAGAGGTGATACGGGGAGGGGGCAAGGAGGCTTCCTGAAAATAAAGTCTGTAACGTACTTAAGTGTACTTGAAGAATGAATGGCTTTTCTCTTTTCAAACCTATTACTTGCAAATGCAGAAGAGATGGAAAATTTAACACTTCTGGAAATGATATGGAAAAGAATACTGGCTTATACACTATAATACCTATTATTTGATCTTAAAAGGAATTACAGGAGGGAAAAATCTCTACATGAAATTATGACTTTTTGCTACTTTTCACCCACAACTTGTTTTTTGAGACTGAGTTTTGCTCTGTTGCTCAGGCTGGAGTGCAGTGGGACGATTTCAGCTCACTGCAACCTCCACCCCCGGGTTCAAGCGATTCTCCTGCTTCAGCTTCCCAAATAGCTGGGATTACAGGTGCCACCACCATATCTGGTGAGTTTTTGTATTTTTAGTAAGACAGAGTTTCTCCATGTTGGCCACACTGGTCTTGAACTCCTGACCTCAGGTGATCTGCCCGCCTTGGGCTCCCAAAGTGATAAGATTACAGGCATGAGCCACCATGCCCCTCCCAAACAAAAACTTTTTAAAAAGTCACTTTGGGATGAAGATCAAAATAACAGATTATCAATTGAGAGGGGAATTTTAAATACATGTCTCAGAAAAGACAAACGGGAAGTTCTAATTACATTTTTAAAGGCACATAACAGCCTGTTTTACCTTATATCAGAAGTTTGAGACTCCTTTATATTCCCTAATCCCCCTCTGTGTGTTTCTTCACATGCTAATGCACCTCCCTCAACAGATGGGACTCTAATGAATAAATTATCAGGGCAAGATACATGAGATTTGCCTGCTTCTCTTAACTATTTTTAGTTTTTTGGCTTGAACTTCTTGACGTCTCTATCTCAGTCCACGAAAACAGCCAATAAGTACTGCATTGTTTTATTTTTGTACATTTGTACAAAATACATGAATTTTTAAGCAAAGATTGTCAAAGAAAAAGTGTTTCTATTATATTGCAATATATGTAATTTCGAAAACTCATATTCTGCAAAATCACACATTATATAAACAGAACTTATGAGAAAAACTGCAGAAATGATATATCACTTAACACCCATAAAACTTTGTAAAATCTAAGCATAAACAATAATTAGTGCCTCCCAATAATTGGGAGATAACTTCCGCTACCCAGCCCAACTATTCAGTGTGGCAGGAGGCTACCACCATGGATGTTATTAAAAAAATATTAGAGGCTGGGCGCAGTGGCTTATGCCTGTAATCCCAGAACTTTGGGAGGCCAAGGTGGGTGGAGTTGGAGGTCAGCTGAGGTCAATCTGAGGTCAGGAGTTGGAGATCAGCTTGGCCAACATGGTGAAACTCCGTCTCTACTAAAAGTACAAAAATTAGCCAGGCATGGTGACGGGTGCCTGTAATCTCAGCTACTTGGGAGGCTGAGGCACGAGAATCACTTGAACCTAGGAGGTAGAGGTTGCAGTGAGCCTAGATCATGGCATTGCACTCCAGCCTGGGTGACAGAGAGAGACTCAGTCTTAAAAAAGAAACATAGAGTGAAATGCAAGTAACATGTTAAACAGAACTGCACTGATGAGTGCTCAGACAAATAAATAGAAAAATAAAAAGAAACAGAGTACTCAGCCAGCTGGGTTGCTGTGAGGGTGGTGGCAGGGAAGTAAGACCTGCTGTAACCTACAAGCTGTGCAAGGCTGGGCTGTATAACTCTTTAGAGAAGGCACTGAGCTGTAGACTTTTCTGTTTTATTTTTGCTGAAAATTATAATTTTACTCCAGTAATCCGTCTTCCTTAACTAAGAAAAATCCATATATACACTAATGGAAATTCTGTGGAATAGTATTATTTCCCTCAATAATCACATACCAAGTAATTCTCATTGCAGGATTAGGCATTTGTGTATATTACAGCAGAGCGACTGTATAATAAACCAAATACTTCACATAACAGATTTTTTTTTCTTTAAAGAGGGGACAATAAGAAAATGAAAATAACACGATGAGTGTGCAGTTTAGAAGGCACAGGTTTTAAACAAATTCATGCTTTTATTTCCAGACATAATCAGATGGATGATACTTTAAACATGCCAAAAATAATGGTGTGGAAGGCTAAGACAAAAAGAGAATGCAGACTTTCTTTCGTGTAATGTAGAAAATGCATAAAAACCTGCAATAGACTGGATATCACTGAAGTGACTGCTGGCTCAGGAAAAGGAAGATGTGTCTCAGAACTGGAATACACATGGTAACCGATGGCTCATCCACCGATTTTTAACAATATTATAAATGAATATAATGATGGTCACTAGAACAAATAGAGACTCCAAGTAGGGTGAAAACCAATATCCATACACTCAGTGAGAGGAAAATGTGCTCTCATTTGCTGGTATTGGTTACATCAAATGGATGTTATTTTTTTGATGTTAAGTCAAACTGCCTCCATATATATCATTAACAAACATAAAAGAGTATAGATACTTGGAAATCATAATATTTCAAATATGTATTTTTCAAAATTCAAATTAAATATTTTTGAGAATTTATTATATACGAGGCACTAAGTTTTTATACATATTAACAAAACTAGGATTCCGATAATCTCATGAAATACATTTTCTTATTATTTTCATTTTACAAATGAGGAGACTGAGGTTTAAAATTTTAAGCAGATTTTCAGTCTGGTCAAGATAGAGTAACAGGGATCCAATTTGCCTTTCCATCTGAAACAACTAAAATAACAGAGAAAATATACAGAAAAATTAGCTTTCCAGACATTAGATATCTATCCATTAGATATCTATCTATCTATCATCTATCTACTAATCTGCCTACCTATCTGCCTATCTATTTATCTATCTCCTATTGGTTCTGTTTCTCTGTCAAACACTGACTGATACAGATTTTGGTGCCAAAAAGTGGTGTGCTGCTCTAACAAACACCTAAAAATGTAGAAGTGGCTTTGGAATTGGGAAATGCATAGAGACTACAAGAACGTTAAGGTGCACATGAGAAAAAGCATAGATTTCCTTGAAGAGATGCTTAGTAGAAATGTGGACATTAAAGGCAATTCTGGTGAGAAGAGACCTCAGACTGATGTCAGCATAGTAGAGAAAGCTCTGTAATAGAAATAATAATAAATCTCTGTAATAGAAATAAACCATTTGAAATATAAATTAATAAAATGGTGACATTAGTAATAGCATCAAAAATATGTATTATCATGCATGTAATCCCGGAACTTTGGGAGGCCTAAGTAGGTGGATCACCTGAGGTCAGGAGTTCAACACTAGCCTGAGCAACATAGTGAAATCCCATCTCTACTAAAAATACAAAAGTAGCTGGATGTGGTGGCGGGCACCTGTAATCTCAGCTACTCGGGAGGCTGAGGCAGAAGAATTGCTTGAGCCTGGGTGATGGAGGTTGCAGTGAGCCAAGATTGAACCATTGTACTCCAAGCTGGGCAACAAGAGCAAATCTCCATCTCAGAATGAATAAGTGAATGAATGAATGAATGAATGTATTATTTTGGCTGACTCTGACAAAATATACGAAAGACCTGTACATAAAAAACTAAATTGTTGAAAGAAGTTTTAAAGAACCCAAATAAGCTGAGAGATAAGATTCAATATTAAGTTGTTAGCTTTCTCCAAGTTGATCAGAATCAGATCTTATATTCATCAGAATCCCAATCAAAATTCTAAAGAACTTTCTTTTGGTATTAGAAATTGACAAGTTGATTTTAAAAGTCCTCTGAAAATACATAGAACCTACAGTAGCCAAAAAAAAAAAAAAATGTCTAAAAAGAAAAACATTGAAGGACTTAATTGACCTGACTTAAAGATTTATTATAAGGCTAAAGTCATGATGACAGTGTGTTACTGGTGTAAGGATAAGTATATAGATCAATGGAACAGAATAGAGATACCAGAAATAGACTTATACATAGTCAATTGATTTTTAACAAAGATGAAAAGGTAATTCGGTCGAGAAAGATTATCTTTTGAATAAAAGATGCTTAGGATGCTTGGATAGCTGTATCTAAAAAACTAAACTTTGATCCATAACTGGTACCATGTAAAAATTAATGTAAAATGGATCATAGACATAAAGGTAAAACGTAAAACCATAACATGCCTAGAAAAAAGTAGGAGAAAATCCTTGTTCTCTTGTTTGGGCAAAGTTTTCTTAGCTGCAAGACCAAAAGCACAATCCAAAGAAAAAACTTCATCAACTTCACTTCAACAGATCCAACATCTTTCCTGCAAAAAGATACTGGTAAGGGAATGAAAACGTAAAAAACAGACTGGGAAAACACTCTTGTGAATTATATATCTCGTTAGAAAAATGTTTGCAGAATATGTAAAAAAAAGTTATAACTCAGTATAAGAAAACAAACAACCTAATTAATAAATGAACAAAAGATTTGCATAGACACTTTAGCAAAGAAGATATACATATGCAAATAAGCTCATGAAAAGATGCTCAACATCATTAGTCACTAGGGAAATGCAAATTAAAACTACAATGAGATGGCACCACACACAGATTAGAATGTCAAAAATTAAAAAGAATGAATACACCAATCATTGCACGATAAGGATTTATTGTAATTCCCAGACACTGCTGTTGGGAATGTAAATACTTTAATACTTTGGAAAGTAGTTTGGCACTATTTTAAAGTGGTACACGTGTACCTACCCTATGACCCAGTCCTGGCTCTACCACTTACTAGTTGCCTGATCTTAGATGAATAAGCTATTGTTCATCATTATTATTATTATTATTTTGAGATGGAGTCTTGCTTCTTTATCCATGCTGGAGTGTAATGGCACGATCTTCGTTCACTGCAACCTCAGCCTCCTGGATTCAAGCAATTCTCCTGCCTCAGCATCCTGAGTAGCTGGGATTACAGTCATGCGTCATCACACTTGACTAATTTTTGTATTTTTAGTAGAGAAAGGGTTTCACCATGTTGGTTAGGCTGGTCTCAAACTCCTGATCTCAAGTGATTCACCCACCTCAGCCTCCCAGAGTGCTGGGATTACAGGCGGGAGCCACTGCACCTGGCCGATTATTGTTAATAACAAAAATCCCTGTACCAGCTCATAGGCTCCCTCAGGCTGCATTACCCACATAGTACTTTGTATATACAGAAAGGGGACATGAAAAGGATCACCAGTATTCAGAAAGTATTATATATGGAACAGAGGACAATCATCAGATCTCCATGAGATGAAATACACATTACTTGCCTTCTCTTTTGCTGAGAGTGACAGTAATTGTAGAGCCCATTCTTTATAGCCATTCTTCTCATCACTGATTTCATACTATCTGAAACCATTTTGTTAGCATGACAATACTTCCTCTTGCAAAAGCTGCCACATGAGGACCCACCCATAATAAAGCTCGGCAAGGCTGAAAAAGCCATCTTCTTAATGCTTTGTCACCCCATAAAAATGACACTTCTGTTTTTTGTTGAAGAATTTGCCAAATGGAAGGGGCTAAATCTCAATCTCGCTTGAAGTCCAAACTGAAATCAGATTTTATGAAGGAGGAGAAGGAGAATGAAGGGGTTAGGGAGAAAGAAGTAAGTTCAAAAATGTCCTGTTACGCTTGGTTTTGAGGAATCGACTCAATGCAAGGGATACATGATCCTTGAGGATTTGGAATGTTTTCTTGGTAAATCACCCTGTGAAAACACCCCCAAATTCCAAAAGAAGGAAAAGGCTGAAAGAGGAGAATTTCCCCCAGCCTTAGATTGACATTGTAGGTTGCTGTGAAGGATGAGGCAAAATCTCATGGGACCTGCAAAATGTCAGTCCTAGTCGATTGTGCCTGTTTCAAGGGACTAAAGGTTAGCCACAGAGAAGACACAGATAAAACATGGCTTAAGTGACACAAAATGGTAGATAAAGCTGGGAAGGGGGGTTGGAGAGCTGGATAACAGAAGAATTATAACCAATTCCAGAATATCTAAAGAACATTCTCTCTCCTGATTTATAAACCAGCTACTCAGCAAGGAGATGTGGGCATGCTATAGTTGTTTTCCCTGGAAAAGTCCACACAGTGATAGAAGTAAAGATAAGGTGAGAGATAAAGACCAGATATAGATAAAGGCAGGAACACAGACTTTCTTCTAGACTGCTATTAAATGCTCATTGTGTTACTGATACATTAAAGGAAATAGGAAAACTGGAGGGACCTGGCAGGGCAAAACATATCTGGAAGCTTTAAGAGATGTATAATAAAACCTAAAGAAGATAAATATTAGGACGGAGCAGATGGAGGAATGTAAAATAGTGGGATAAAGGAAATGAGGATGGTGACATATCATATTTAACATGGGAGACCACGTTTATTTATTTATTTAAACTTTTATTTTAGGTTCATGGGTACATGCGCGGGTTTGTTATATAGGTAAATTTGTGCCATGGGGGTTTGTTGTACAGATTACTTCCTCACCCAGGTACTAAGCGTAGTACCCAATAGTTATTTGTTCTGATCCCCTCCCTCCTCCCACCCTCCCACTTCAAGTAGACCCCAGTGTCTGTTGTTTCCCTCTGTGTATTCATTTGTTCTTGTCATTTAGCTCCCATTTGTGAGTACATGCAGTATTTGGTTTTCTGTTCCTGCATTAGTTTGCTAAGGATAATAGCCTCCAGCTCCATCCATGTTCCTGAAAAGGACATTTACTTGTTCTTTTTATGGCTGCATAGTATTCCATGGTGTATGTGTACCACATTTACTTTATCTGGTTTACTGTTGATTGGCATTTAGGTTGATTTCATGCCTTTCCTATGGTGAATAGTGCTGCAATGAACATATGCATGCATGTGTTTTTGTGGTAGAACAATTATATTTCTTTGGGTATACAGCTATTGATCGACTTACAACCTATGCAACTTACAACCATTCGACTTTACGACCACAATCGCTAGTCATGACTGCTCTGCGTCTGGCAGCTCAAACGTTGCCCAGCTGGGCGTACGACAGTACGGACCAGCTTCCGGCAGCACTACCATCTCCGCGTGCACCATTTCAACTGTACCTATGGCCCACTCAACTTACGACCAAATCATGTTACGACCGGTCTGCCGGTCCCAGTCGCAGTCATAAGTCGAGCACTAGCTGTATACCCAGTAATGAGATTGCCGAGTTGAATGGTAGTTTAATTTATAACAGCAACTAACACAAGCTTCAGCTGAGACTCAAACAAGAGAATGATTTTCTCCAAGTGGGGCAGGAAATCATACCTCTTTATACCGTCTCATTCCCCATAAGAGGAAGATGGTATTTCGTGGCTTGTGGCAGAACAAAACTATGTTTTCTGTCTTTCTTCAAATAATAAAATATGCCATATTTCACTATAAAAAAAAGAGGAAAAATAAACAGTTTGTTGTTGTTGTTGTTGTCAAAGAGGCAAGATAGTACCTGATTTCTCAGGTGTGTGGTCCGGGAAAATTACCATGTTCTCAGAAATCTCTGAAAAGATGCTCGGTAAAACAACCAGTAATGAGGTGGTCAGTGTGAGGACAGAGACAGCGGGAGAGCCCTGCTGGGCCTGGTGTAATGGGGGCAGATACCCTACAGTCCCTGGACCCCGGGAGTTCTCTCTCCACCCCTCCACACTAGCATCCTTCTGGACTTCAACCACACGTACTGTCTGACTGACTGACTTCCCATAAAAGCTGATCCTTAGTACGTTTCAATTAAAAGATTTTTACATAAGACTCATTTTATCACTCCCAAATCATCAAACACATGATGAGGCCTGAAACTGGATAACTAAACAACACTGAACCACTAACACGGAAAAAGCTATTAGCAAACCTATACTATCAAGTGGATCCTAAAATTCCCTCTGCTAGATTATATTCCAAAGGGCAGAAATAACATTAGGAATATTTCACATAAAATACAGTTTAAAGCAAAAGGCAATTAAATGGTACCATTTTAATAGATAAATTGATGATAATGGCACAATTGGACATATTACAGTAAATTAACATCAACAAAAACTCCTTTACTTAAGTATAGATGGGGCGGGGAAGGAGAAACATATGGATTTGTCAAATGGCATAGAACATTCAAAAAGTTCTACCTTCCCATATTTTTATGCATTTCATGTGGATGAGCTATATGCCAAAATTACTGCTTTTATGGGATGTAAGAATCTTTAAAAGTTTGCATTTGCTTATAAATGTTTCAGTAAAGGGCTTTACTAAATTAACAGGATTTAGAGGAAGAATGCAACTCCTATCTCAAGCTGCTGTCAGGAGACAGGTTTACAGTGACTCGTAAAGCCATCATTCAGTTATATATGGTCCCCTCATTTGTGGTATCTAATAATGGTACAGGCTGCTGTCTTTATAATGGTGATCACCAGCCTCCCAGCCTTTCCAAATGTTATTTCAATTTTTTTTTCTCAAATGAACCACCTCAGTTCTATCCTTAACATAATGTCTTATAAGAGTCACTCCTAGCATTAAGTGCCTGACTGCTCTTTTCCTTCAGAGTTTGTGGGCATTTTTTTAAAGTTTTAATACTTCCTAAGGATCTGTGAGTCTGTCTCAATGTCCGCAAATCCTGTTCACATTTTTAAATAACTATTTTAAGTTGACTGAATTATCCTTTAGACTCAAGAAAATTACATCCAAAATATCAGCAGCTGACCTTTTGCCTACTTAGTGATTCTGTGGGTTACTATTTTTACCAATTAAAAAAATATTTGGGAATCAACCTGAATGCCCATCAATGGTGCACTGGATAAAGAAAATGTGGTACATATACAGCATGGAATACTATGCAGCCATAAAAAAGAAAGAGATCATGTCCTTTCTAAGAAACATGGATGGAATTGGAGGCCATCATTCTTAGTGAACTAGCACAGGAACGGAAAACTAAATACCACATGTTCTCACTTATAAGTGAGAGCTAAATGATGAGAACACACGGACACAAGCAAGGGAACAGGAGACCCTGGTGCTTATCTGGGAGTGGAGGGTCGGAGTGGGGAGAGGAACAGAAAAAGTAAGTATTGGGTACTGGGCTTAGTAACTGACTGACAAAACAACCTTTACAACAGATCCCCATGGCGTGTGTTTGTCTGTACAACAAACCTGCACATGTATCCCTGAAACTAAAATAAAAGTTAAAAAAATACATATTATATACCAGCTTGGGCAACATAGCAAGAACCTATCTCTACAAAAAACACAAAACTAGCTGAACACGGTGGTGCATGCCTGTAATCCCAGCTATTAGGGAGGCTGAGGGGGGAGGATTTCCTGAGCCCAGGAGGTGGAGGCTGCAGTTAGCCATGATCCTACCACTGCACTCCAGCCTGGGTGACAAAGTGAGACCCTGTCCTGCCACCCCCCACCCCCACAAAAAAAAGGATATACACACACATACAGAAACTAAGCTAATTTATTTTAACAAGAGGCTTGAGAGCTTAGTAGAAGATAAAATGAGTTTGTGTGTAAGAAATCTAAAATATTGAAAAATTGTCACTAGAAATCACAACTTTACTTCAAATATTTTAAGTTTTGAGTAGTTGTCAGAACATCCTAGTAAAGTGTTTCTTTAAAATTGATTGAGGAAATGTTGAATTCTCACTTACTTTTCTTTCGTAATTCAACAAATATTTACTCAGTGCTTAGTCAGGGCTAGCTACTATGCTGAAAGCTGGTACTACAAATGGGGATAAGACAAATACAGGCTCTGTCTTTTAGGAACTTCTGGTCTAGGGAAGGCATTGGGCAGATAAACAGATGATTACCACAGATTATGGTCAGTACAGTGATGGAGGACGGTAGGAGTAGATAGAAGGGTGTCTAGTCTCAACCTAAAATATCAGGGAAAATTTTTACTCCCCTCCCTTCTCCTCCCTTCCCTTCCCTTCCTTCCCCTTCCCTTCCCTTCCCTTCCCTTTTCAGAGAGGGTCTTTCTCTGTCACTCAGGATAGAGTGCAGTGACACAATCACAGCTCATTGCAATCTCAACCTCCCAGGATCAAGCAGTCCTCCTGCCTCAGCCTCCTGAGTAGCTGGGACTACAGGTGCTCACCACCATGCCTAAATTATAGGTGCTC